AGAAGAACTCTGAGGGGCTGAGGTTCATCTTGGGTCGTGGTTCACATACCGCAGTCCATAACAGCTGGGAGTGCAGAGGCTCCTCACAGCGTGGTGACCAGAACGTGAGGTCGCCAAACATTAGCAGATCAGAGAATGACAGCTCCAGGCAGACCAGAAACAGATAGTCACCTTCAAGAGCCACCACTAGTGACCTGTATCTGCCACCTAAACCATCACCCACAATGATTTGTCATTGACAGAAACTATCGTGAGCTTTGGAAATGAGTACTGACTGTAGGTCACTGCTTGTCACTTTTCTTCTAGAATGAAATTAAAGCTCTGTCTGAGGAGAAAACTGCCATTAAAATGCAACTGGATTCATCTAACAGCACCATCGCCATCCTACAAATGGAGAAAGACAAGTTAGACATAGAAGTGACTGATTCTAAGAAAGAACAAGATGATCTCTTGGTACTGTTGGCTGATCAGGATCAGAAAATTCTGTCACTGAAGAGTAAACTCAAGATCCTCGGCCATCCAGTAAGCCTGAAATATTTCCACAAGGGTTCTGTGATTTGTAAAGTGTGTTTCTAAGTTTAATGCTTCATGGGAAAGTTGTGTCCTATGTTAGCCTTAGAAATGTGGGGTTGAGAACACAGTATTACCTGTTTTTTTCACTGTTCAGTGAGTTGGTCTGAGAAAAATCAAATTCTCTTTGCAGTATTTGAAGACCTTGAGCCTAGAAAATAGTTGATTTCATTGCTCCTCGGTGATAAGACCACCATCAGGGGTGGGTTCTATGATCATAATTTCACCACAGTGGGTTCAGACTCATAGATGGAAAAGTGTGGCCATTTATTGTTAAAGTTAACTGACCAGCATTACCCATTCATGTTAAAAATGACAGGGAGCCTGAGCATTATGAAGTCAAGGAAATCTGATCTACTATGACAGACTAGTAATATTAGTAATTAATATGTGTTAAACAGGCACATACTTATTTGTATGTATTATGTGTGTATATGAACAAATCTGTATTTTCCCCTTAGGTTGAAGAAGAAGATGAATCTGGAGACCAAGATGATGATGACGATGAAACTGATGATGGTGACAAGGACCAGGACATCTAGCTTAAACCCTAGGAGTGATAAAGATTATGTCATTAGTTTGAACAAGTCTTAAGACAGTGCTTTGGTTTGCCACCTCCACAAAAAAAAAAAAAAAAAAAAAAAAGAAAGAAAGAAAGATTTAAACCAGGCAGAAAGAATTCACTAATAAAAATTATTGTTTGTTTTTTAATATTGCTTCTCATGTGGGAAACTTTAAAACTCTAACCTCATGTGGAAGTTTTATTTATGTTCATCTGAACTCTCCCAAAATATAATTTGCAGAGAGCACCAGGCTCCAAAAATAGACCACTTGAAGGTGTATGGTGGGGTTCATTAGGCGTGGTGGCGATACAGTTGGCCTTTTGGTTCTCTGTTTGCTTTTCAGAACCTGTGGCTTCAGTCCTAACACATTTGATTTCATGTGTACTGAATGGGAACCAGTTATTTCTAAATCAGCATTCGAGTTCTCACCTTACTATTCCTTGTAAAGAAAGGACTCTACTTAAAGACAGTATGGCCTGGGCTCAGGGGTCGTGTGTGCTGCCCCCCCCCCCCCCCCAGTGTGCCTTTCAGAAGAGCAGGATGGGGCGGTTCAGAGGGAGTGTTTGCCATCAAAGGGCCACATCCTGCCTTCCGAGAGCATGGAGAGCTGTTCTGAGAAACTGCAACAGTGGATTAAAGCGGCTGCTTTTCTTTCTGTCTAAGCTCAAGATGGAAAACAGATTATAGTCAACAGTTCATACAGCTGGGATTTAGCATTGTTTGATTATCATAAAACATGTTCTTAGTTTTAAAAATACCCAAACTATGATTTATATAATTTATTGGCATTTTTGCTGAATAGGTGTAAGTCAGATAATAGATTTTTAAAAAGCAATGAAGCAATGTGTCAAAGTCTAATGTTTTCATAATAAAAATAGATATTATGTTCACTTAATCCCTGTCATGGTTCCCTTTGTTTCGGTGTAAATGAAGTATTTAGTTCCTCATAAGAAGTAAATGAAATGCTAAAGAGACGTCTTGGTCACTATCCTGTTGCTGTAAAGAGCCACCATAACCGAGGCCCCTCTTACAAAACAAAGTATTTAATTGGGAACTGGCTTAGAATTCGGGGAGCAGGGCAGCACACATGACACTAGAGCAGCAGATGGGGCTACGTCCTGATCCAGACCTCCTCCTAACCCTGTCTGTGGGGTCGCTCTCATTCACACCGCCACACTTCTCTCTGTCAGGAGCAGTCTTACCAGGGCTCTGTACAATTGAAAGGGACTAGTGGAGCAGTTGCTAGAGTGGAAGAGGCAATTTAGAGTGAAGTTAGGGTTTGTCTCCCAGCAGCACAGGGCTTTGATAGGAATTCATGGAGTCAACAAATGTAGAATTTTCTACCTGAGGGGGTAGGGGAAAAGGCACTCACAAACTCTCTTAATGATCTCCTTTTTCTCTAGTCTCTCTCTCTCTCTTTCCAGGCAGTATAAGAGTCAAAATGATTCTCAAGTGAATGATTATAGGTAAAAACAAGGTTTTCATCTCCCTCACTTGATAAACATTTTATGTATTACAGGTGAAAACAAACTATCCCAAGAATCCACATGCATTCATACCCAAGCAGCTCATTACAGATTAACTGTGTGAGCAAGCAAGGTGTTCTTGTCGGGTCCTTTATTGGCAGGCTGCATTTTGCAGTTACAAAGAAAGGACCAATTATTTTATTACGTATCTTAAGAAGGTAATCTTAGAAGGAATCTTAAAGAAATCACAAACCTAAACTTTTATATGTGAAAAAGAATCACTCAGCTCTACTTTAAGTCTTTAGGGTGCATATCCATTCATTAATAGTTTTTTATATCAGGAGATTGAGGACAGAAATGGGTATAAGGAATTGATTGTCACCTTTGGTCGTTAACCAAACCTAGCAAAGAGAGCACGTCAGCCAGTAATAATTGGGCTGCTTTGTTCTTGTTCCCTGACCTTAAAGAGTCCCGCATTCAACTATGTGCCTTTCTAAGACTTTAGGTTGTCTTCCTGGGTTTTCACTTCAGAGTTATTTAACAAAAACATCTGAGTCTAACTCTGTTATATTCAAAGCTTTGTTTCAGCTGTGATGAGCTCTGAGACCTGTGAGCACATCTGACATTAAGGTTAAAAGAATTGAAGTTAGCTGGACTCCTGGGACTCAATTGTTAGTCATTATCCATGCAATTCCTTAGGTGAGACTCGCAGGCCCTGGCTGTGAAATATACCCTTGTATTTATTTTTACTCATCAATACTCTATATAAGCTATCAGTATTGTTATCAAATTAAACAGTACAGCTCAGGGAGGGGTCATCTTGACAATCCACAGGTAAAAATGCCCATTAGAACAGGATGTTTCCGAGAGATAAACACACTATAATACAGGCAGTGGAGATCACCACCACATGTCCACCCACACCCTGCAACATACCAGAGAAACAGAGCTGCAGCAAACATGTAGAGGCACAGCAGAAGCAAAAGACATTCTGGGGTCTGCAGTCCCGTGGCCTTGCCTAAACAAGATTGGCTCATCACAGGATTCCCTTCTGCTGGCTGACACCTGGAACTTCAACTTGCTGCTCCTCTGGCATGGCCAACGGCAGGTTTTTCCCCCCCTCTTCTCATTTTTAATCGACCCTTGAGAATTCTATACAATGTGTTTCAGTCCTATTTACCTACCTCCCCTAACTCCATCAAGATCCACAGCTCCTTCTCTACCTGGCCAACTTTTCCACCCACCAAGTCCAGGACTAGACCATCTTCCTGACTATTGGGGGGCTCTCACTAGGCCATCATCCTGCTTGCTCTCTGTCTTCTGGCATCTCCCCCTTCCCAGCATCCTCTCTGCCCAGAAATCCTGCCTAGTTATTCCTTTCAGCCTTATATTAAACCAATCAGAGTGATGCATCATGGCATACAGAAGATTATTCCACAAGAGTGGGACCCTACCGAGCCCTTCACAACAACTGACCCTTCAGAGGGATGTTGACACTTTTTGGAAAGTTGGCAGTCTGATTGCTGAAACTGCCTTTATTCTCAAAGAGGTGCTGTCCTGTCGCGTCCACCCTTGTCCTGCAAAGAAAAATGCAACACCCTGAGCTCTCGCAGCAGTTTTCAGAACTTTATTCACAGTAATCTTTCTTCCCCTCTCTCTTTTACCTCTCCCCGGGCAAACCTCTCCCAGCCCTTAAGTAGGCATGGGCTGCCAACCCCGAACTGCCAGGTGGGCACTGCCCATAGGTTCACGCATATGCAGGCAGCTGATAATCATTGTGTGATCATAGCATAGGTCAGGCCGTAGCCATCTCAGGAGTTGATTATACATCTCCATCAGGTGTGACACCACGCAGCTCGCTACACTGTCCAGAGTCCCAGCTCACAGGTTAATGGGTTGTTGCTTATCTGGAATTATGCTGAGAGGAGAACAGATATGCATCATTTTGTTGCAACTAGATTAGAGCCTTGTGGTATTTTGAATAGAAATGACGACCATACGCTCATATATTTGAATGCTTGGTCGTCAGGCAGCGGCACTACTTGAGAGGTATGTGGAGGTGTGACCTTGTTAGAGGAAGTGTGTCACTGAGATGGGCTTTGGTTTGCCAGTGCCTTTGGATCCGGTTGTAGAACTTACAGCTACCACGACTGCCTGGGTGCTGCCATGCTCCCTGCCCATGAGGGAAACGGACTAAACCTCTGAACTGTAAACCAGCCCTAACTACATGCTTTCCTTATTAAGAGCTACCATGGTTGTGGTGACACTGACTGAGACAGGCCTTGTAATGCTCCTCGGAACTAATCTTCACGAGTAAAGCAAAACCTACTGGTTTATTCAGCTCTAAGCACCGAGGATGTGGCGCAGGAAAAGACAAAGTCCCATGTTTAACTTACATTTTAGAGTAAGCTTTCATAAATATACAGTCAGTGCTTTGTAGCTTTTGGAAAGAAGACTGCATGTTATTCAGAGTTGCATGGAAAGCCGCAAGAGTGATTAGATATTTTGCTGCCCACAGATTACATCTCTTCTCTGAAGGCGTAAGTCACGAACAATGCCACACCAGTTTGGAGTTATGATTAATAGGGTGTTATTTATTTAAAGGGGAAAGAACTTACAGATCACCGTCCCAGACAACAGCCATCTGCACAACCAGGAAGGGAGTCTAGTCTCCAGCGGAGCAGTAAGTGAAGAGAGCGAGCAGAGGAAGTAGCCGCTTTTTTAAAGGGAGAGAGACCACGCCCCAATGGGCTGGTATCACAGCAGCTATTGGTTGGAGGGGCGGAAGGACCTCCCGCAACACTTCTCTGCTGAGAATTGTCTGGGGCAGAGTCGTGAAGGAAGTCAAGAGACCATGTAAGAAGTTATTGTCATGGTCCACACTATATTGAAGGGGTAAAGGTGTCTACAGCGGTACGAATGGAGATGCATTCTGAGGGCAGGGCTAATAGGACTCAAACTGTAAATACCCAGGGAATAGAGGAGGAAGGGGGAAAAAATCAAGAACAGTTTCTAGAAAGGGCAATATGGATTGCAGAGTTCAAGATGAGAGGAACAAGTGGTCAAGGGTGATGTTTCCTGTGGACTTACTGAACCCGAGATCCACGTGCATACTGTCATACATAAGTGTGTTCATCGGGGAAATAGATGTGGAAGTTTGGGGTTCCTGGAGCCAGAAAAATAGTGGAATTTAAATCCACATGGCAGCATTAGCTCTTTTAGGGAGTGTGGAGACACAGCAGCCAAGAACCGAGCCAGAGAAGTTCAGGTTTTGAGGATTAGCTGAGCTTTGGAACATTGAATGAATAATACCCCAGAAGGAATCCGAGCATCGGAATGGAGAGGAAAACCAGAAGCCTGATATCTGAGTTGATTGCCCCCTGCAATTTTGGAAAGTGAAAATGTAACTCTTTCTGAAACATTTAATGACCACTTTATTTCTATGGATAAAGAGTTTCTATTTGGGGGTACTGGGGGTAGAATCTAGGAGCCGACTATTTTATCTAATCAAATGTGCTTTTAGTGAAATCTGCTCTGCCAACCAGTTAGAAGCTAAGTGTCCGATGTAGATGCTGCTTAAAGTTCCATTGTGTCATTTATAACGTGCGTTTTATAATGCAAATTATTTTAGCAAGCTGTCCCGTTTCTTATGGGTTAGTGCTGGCACTTCTGATGAGAAGTGATGCTTTCTCTTGATATAACAGGAACGTCACATTTCTGTATGGCTCCCACATGAAAACGACGTGACTTGTCACCTCTCGTGGATACGTTGTCTATCTTAAGAAGGGTTTTCCCTTCCTTCGTAGCAAATCAGGCATTTTCCCCCTATTTCCATCATAGGCATGTGTGAATAGTTTTAGTTTCAAACCTAAGTCCACACGGGGCCTTCGCTGTGATTAGACGCTGTCTACAAATACAGGTGAGGCACCCATGACGATGTGAGCACAGGCAGACCCTTGCTTTGCTGGCCTTTTCCAGCTCTGGGGTTTTATTTCTAGACTTACTTAATAAATGTATTACTCTGGCATGCAGTGGGTTTGGGAAAGCTTGCCATCTGGCACCCTCACTCGCAGTGAGGCTCTTTGGCCTGTCTGGCATTTCATGCAGCTGTTCCCGAGAGGCAAGGTAGTTGCTGTGGAGGGACAGGGGTGGGTCTTCTGTGTCTTTTACCTGAATGTTCTTGAGCCACAAAAGGGCTGCATAAAGCAAGTAAGAAGAAAGAAAGAAAGAGAGAGAGAGAGAGAGAGAGAGAGAGAGAGAGAGAGAGAGAGAGAGAGAAACCAGGAAAGGATTTTACAGCTAAAAGGATAGAGTATATAAAAGTAGTGAGGAGCAGAATGCCTGAGTGAAAGAGCACTGGCTGCTGTTTCAGGGGACCCAGGTTCAATCCCCAGCACCCACAAGGCAATTCAAAACATCTAACTCTAGTCCCAGGGGATCTGATACCATCCTCTGGCCTCTATGGGCACTGTGCACATGTCACAAGCACAGATACAACATCCATACACATAAAATTTTAATTAGGTGAGCTAAACAAAAGTTTATCGTATTAATTCTCTATACTGTGTTCGGATTTGCCATAAGTTGAATGAGTTAAATCAATACCTGTTTGTTACCTCACCATTGCTGAGGGGCAGAAGCCAGGGCACAGATGAACTGAACCTTCTGTCCTCATCCCAGGCTGCAGTCAGGGTGGTACCAGTCATAGGAGTAAATACAATTAAAAAACCTTTCACCAACTTAACATTTTAAAACAATAAATAAAAGGTATGAAATGAAAACGAGGGTGTTAAATTATCGATAACTAGAGTATATTTTAGAATTTATACATACCTACACCCACGTTCTACTTTGTAAGATTCTGAGATGAGGGCGGGACCACTATCTATTCACAAACACACACATACACACACACACACACACACACATGCACACACACACAAACCATGCATAGCCCACCAACCCACAAATAGGTGATTCTGGATTCCAATGCCTGGTGGTGGCAAATTCTCAGCATCCAAGTCTATGTGGAGCCCTAAGCTCTCATTGCCTCTAGGCACTGTAGGTGATAAGGGCCAGGCTAGCCTCAGCATGGACCTGGACGGCTTCAGGCCCTCTCTGCAGTGTCTGTGGACTGTAAGCAAGCAGAGGCATGGCCCTCAGAGCAGGACTGCTCCACAAGGCGGAAGGCCTCCAGGAACTCATTGATGTCGATGCGGCCATCCTTGTTGAAGTCGATGCTTCTGGCGAGGTCACAGATGTGGTCATCTGTGATGTCAATGTTCATGTGCGAGCTGAAGAGCTTCCACGTCTGCCTGAACTCATCCAGGGAGATGAATCCTTACAAGAGGGGAGAAGCCGGTGAGCCCATAGAGTTACGGTGCTAGTATCTGTCGTCTGACTTGCTCGTGGAGAAACCTCTTCCCCAACTAGTAGGCAGACGCAGACCTCAAGGCCAAGGGTGAAGTATAAACTCCCAAGGACACCACAGAAAAGCGCGGATCATGAGTGCTTTTCAGCAGGGAGCAGCTATGCTCTGGGGTGGGGGTGGGGGGGTGTCCAGCAATGTTAGAGACATTTTACAGTGAGAATAGTGTACTATGGGTGTCTAGTGGACAAAAGCCAGGGCTGCTGCTTAACACCACACAATGCACAAAATGAACCCCTCAAAATATATCATCCTGCCCCAAACGTCAGCCATGGGTGTCTTACACTAACTCATCCTAGTCTTACGCTTATTCATACTGTTTACAAAACGTGTGTAAGCGGGCACACTTGACATTGCTTCGTGGGATGTAGAGGTGTGAGGTTTGCTTGAGCCCAAGACTTAGACTCCAGCCTGGATAGTGTTCTGAGACCTCACCTCAAAAATCAAAACAGCTCATAACATAACAAGAGCCCTTGGACCCATGGGCAGTTCGTTGGAGTTTATTTTCGGTTTGGTTTCTGGCAGTTGTGGAAGCTGAACCCAGGCCAAGGCCTCTCAGATGGCTGACCAGGGCTCTACCGCCACGCTTCATCCCCAGCTCACGTCAGCTAAGCTTTTCTAGTTGTGGTTATTGGTGTAGTGTCTCTGCTCACAAGCATACACATGCTTATGTGTGCTCTTGGCCATGCGAGCCACAGTCTGTATGTGGAGGTCAGAGGGCAACTTTCAGGAGTCATTTCTCTCCTCGCCTTCTGCTGTGGGTTCTGGGGATTCTCAGGCAAGTCCCTCTGTACCCACTGAGTCATCTCACTGGCCTGTAATTGATTTTTTTCTTTTTAACAAAGATTCCAAGGTCACCCGGTGAAGCCAGGAGTGGAGGTGAGTGCTGTGATCTGGGACAGCTAAAGAGGGTGAGGCAGGGAGATGGCTTGAGCCCGGGAGTTTACAGGCTGGAGAACACGGGAGGAGTCCATCCCAAACAGATACTAATAAATCTCACCAAGACCACCTGGTGTAGAAAGTGTTTTTCCAGCATGGCTGGGGAGCACGGCTGGGGAGCACGGCTGGGGAGCACAGTCCAGCAGCAGCAGTGACAGGGCAATGCATCATTTTACCTGAATGATCACTGTCGATGACCCTAAAAATCGTCTCCAAGTTCGATCGGTTTCGATAGAGTTTTTCCAGAAGACTCGACTGGATGTTCTGTAGGAAAAATAAATAAATAAATAAATAAATAAATAAATAAATAAATAAATAAATAAAACCACCTTATCTTTTTTTGTCCTAACTTATAGTTAGGACACACAATGAACCCTGATAATTATACATTCTCAAAAAAGACCAAAGCTATTTATTATCTTTGGAGTGAAGTAGGAATGTCATTCATGGTAATATATATATGTATATATATTGACTGCGGCGGAGGGTTGCCCGTATTTGAGAATAGCCATCCTTTTACCTCCAGAGGTTCAGCATCCTTGGTTCAACCATGGATGAAAATCGTGTCAGTGTTGAACATGTACAGACTTTTCCATCATTATTCCCTCTACAACCCAGAGTCACAGATTTTTACATACCATTTGCATTGCATGTGGTATTATAAGTAACCTAGAGATTGAAGCCTGCTGGAGGATGTGCACAACCATGCTTTTCACACAGGGATTTGAGCATCCACAACCCCCAGCCTCCTCCTCATGCCAGATAACAAGGGATGAGCATATGCTACACATTACTGAATTGTGTTCTTTCAGGTGGGTGAATTCACAGATGTGTGAATTATGTTGCAGCAAGGATATTCTTTCAAAAGCACATAACAGAAAGTCTCACTTAATGGCATTATCAGTAACTATTTGTTTACTAGTATTTTAATATAGAGGAAGAGTCATAGACAGTGTTAGGGAAACAAAATGAGATTTAAAGTCAGTAGACTTGAGTCTGTTTTGCTCTGGAGGTTGATCCAGGCCTTTGGACACGCTAATCACACGCTTTCCCACAAAGTACACCCTTAGCCCACACCTGAGTCACTGCTGAGGGATTCTCTAACCCCAGGCTAATGTCTTACGCTCTATGGGCAATGCATTCTAATAGCACAGGGTAACACCTACCTCTAGGGTGCTGGGGGGATTAATTGAGGCAGCTATGTAAACCCCCAGAACACACAGTCTGACACGTGGGAACATAACAAATAATTGCTTCTGTTTTCCCCAGCCTGCCTTTGGGGCCCTAAACTGATGTTTCAGAATTGAGAGGGTTCTGAGGCTACGGTGTGCTCCAGGTCACCCCTTACCTCTCGGCTCAGCTGTTCTTTGGCCAAGCTCTCCAACCAGGACTTGTACTCCAGCACATTATCCGCGGAACTGTTCACCAGCTGTGGCCGGAGCATCCGCCATGGCAGGCCCAGGTGCAGCACAGACTCGACGGCAACTGCCCAGTCATTCAGGGTGACCGTGCCTGCGGGAACGGCCGGGCCTGTTGAGCTGCTGCCTAGAACTGAGTTTCCTCCGGCAGGACGTGCGTGCCATGTGTAAGTTTTTATCCTGACATTCTTGAACTACAGGTGGGCAGCACCGCCCCTTCTCTTGGTAGAGCTGAGTGGAAACGAGGCTTACCAGATGCTATGCAAGGTGGCCGATTTGAAGTTCAGATAGGCAACGAAGCATAAGTGTGTGTCAAATATGATATAAAATTCTCTGTCTGCCTATAATTAAAACTTAATGATGCATTCTTTTGTTTATTAAATTTGGGTACATGAAGATGATTGTAAATAATATTATAAAATGTATGTGTATATGTATGTATGTATACATGTAAGTATTTGTTTTTTTTTTTTGTTTTTTTGGTTTTTTTTTTTTTTTTTTTCGAGACAGGGTTTCTCTGTGGCTTTGGAGCCTATCCTGGAACTAGCTCTTGTAGACCAGGCTGGTCTCGAACTCACAGAGATCCACCTGCCTCTGCCTCCCGAGTGCTGGGATTAAAGAAAGGCATGCGCCACCACCGCCCGGCTAAGTATTTGTTTATGTACGTGTATATATGTGTTTATGTATGTATGTGTGTGTATTGAAGGGCTCTCCAACAGGTCCAAGCATGGCAAACATGGCTTTGCCAGGCCTTGCCCTCCTCCGCCCTCCCTGCCCCACCCTTCCCTCTTCCTTCCTTGCTAGACTGTGGATACCACCAAGGTCTATTCCCTTATTTGGCTACTTCCTCCTCCTGAGACTGACTACCAAGGTCCAGCTATCAAAGTATTGAAGTGCAACAACAAAGCCTCCATTTGGCTCACCTAATTAACATGCCCAATTTAAAATGAAACACCTCATCCTAACTAGGGCTTTCCTCTTTCCCCCTTCATTAACTGCATTTTGCCTTTGGGCCACGTCTGTCTCCCTCTACCCAGAGGCGGTCCTCTGTCCCTCCAGGACAAACATCCCGTCCCCTTCTTCCTTGTGCTTTTTCCCTTCTCCTTAGCAGCACGGTCACGCTCCAGCCTGACAAGACTCCCTAGGTGTGCTCCATCCTGCTGAGACTCCCTAGATGTGCTCCAGCCTGACAAGGCTCCCTAGGTGTGCTCCAGCCCGCTAGGTGCATTTCTCGTCCTCACCGCTCTCATCCACGTCCTGCTTCTGAAATTCGACGAGCAGGTCCGAGGAATGAGCAAATAATTTCTGCCGCAGGGCTCTCAGGGCTGACTCCTCCACCCTGCTGATCCTGGAACCCGGAGAGAAGGTGTTGTGAAAAGCTGAGCCTAAGATAAGTCCTGGATTCCAGCCCGTGCCTCCTCTCTTTCTCAGTATCTCGGGCTCCCAAGAGCTCACCTTTGGAGGGAAGTGTTCCATCTCTTATTTCTCACCTCTACTAGCCGGGTGGGTGATGGTGGCACACGCCTTTAATTCCAGCACTTGGGAGGCAGAGGCAGGCGGATCTCTGTGATCTGTGAGTTCGAGGCCAGCCTGGTGTACAAGGGCTAGTTCCAAAGCTACAGAGAAAGCCTGTCTTGAAAAACAAAAACAAAAAACCAGATTGTCCCTGCTGTCAGTATTCTAAGCAGACTATGCCTCCATCCATAAAAAGGTATAAAAGGCCATCGGCCTCACAGGGTGAAAGTGGACTTTAAATAAGAAAATTCATAGTGAGCAATTCTTAGAAAGCCTAGCATCATCCTAAATCATCATGTTTTCCTATTATTAAGCAGAAACTGAAAATGATATTTACATAAAAACAAAAAAATCACTAATTCAAGTTTCTTAAAATTATTTTTTGATAAAAAAAAGAGTGTTGAAATCAAGCTTTGTTCATGCTAAGCATGTATTGTAGTTACAAACTGTGGCCCTAACCCAATTTTCTCATTTTTGTTGGGTCAACAAAATAATTATGGGCAGAGCACTTGGCCTAAAATAGATACCTGATAAATATTTATAATTGTAGGGACAATTGTCATTTATAAATGTACTTAATTTGTGATATCAAAGAGTCAACCGTTCTATAAATTACAATCAGCTAACCTTTCTTTTCAAGTGATAACTATTTTTTAAAGCATTTTTGTTATGTTTGATAAAACTATTCATTGACCCGGAATAGTGATACATGCCTACAATCCCAGCACTCTGGAGGCAGACAGAAGGTTCAGGAGTTCAAGGTTAGTCTTGGCTACATAGCAAGTTCAAAGCTAGCCTGGAGTACATGAGGCATTCTTGCAAAAAAAAAAAAAAAAGAAAGAAAGAAAAGAAATAGAGTTTTGTTTTTATTAGGGAAATGTTCATTGCAATTTAAGCTATTTAACTAGCAACCCATATGCAGGTTCCATTAACCTTTAGGGGGAGCTATCTGGAACTTGGTCCAAATTGCCTGGGTATATGAGCCCACAAGATTTGTCTAAAATTTGTTATTACACCAGAAGCTAACAGATCTATAGACCCTAAAAAGAACAGGTTAGTGCAGTCGCTTGAATGATGTCCTTGCAAACAGTAGGCACTGACAGTTAGGCAGGGACCTGGGGCAGCAATGCCTAGACAGCCTTCTGTCTGGGTGAGGTTCTCTGTATCGCCTGGAACTCTGCATGTAGTGTGTGTATGCACGTGCGTGTGCGAGTGTGTGTGCCACAGCACGCGAATGTTGATCAGAGAATAACTTTCAAGAGTTGGTTCTCTTTTTATCACATGAATCCCAGGCACGGACATAGGTTGGCTGGCTTGGTTGTAGATGCCTTTACCAACCAAGCTGTCTGGTCAGCTTACTGCATAGCCTGTCTCGCCAGTCCTCCACACCCTTGGAAGTGGGTAGCACCATCACGATGCCATGGCCTTGCCAGCTGAAACCCAGGCTGGCTATGCTGTCCCGTAGGACATGAATTTAAACAGTAAATGAACTCTGAACCAGGCTCTTCTGAGAAAGGCAAGCAAAAGTTGACAGCCTTGAAACCTTGGGACAGTCCCCTTATTGAGTTCTAACTTAACCATTGTGTTCTAAGTGTCTGATGCTGTTGACAGTGACTTCTGGGGAAGTTAGGCTAAATGATTTAATAATTAATTAGTAACTTAATAAGTAATTTATAATAAGTAACTAGTAACTTAATTTAACGCACTCAGTGTTTACCATAAGAGGAATTCTATTTGCTCTTCTTATTAAAGCTCACTCGTCACAGAGTCCCCCACGGTGACTCTGTAGTGACAACAGCTAAGTCCTAGAAGATTGCAGTCTTCCGGTGCTGGGTCCATTCCCCGGGAGCGGCTGAGTAGCCAGCCCTGTGGGAAGCTCAGGTGGCTGGGTTTTTTGTTTTGTTTTGTTTTGTTTTTTAATCATCCAAGGGTGATTTGGATTAACGAGAAGGTTCATTCTCTGTGGGAAATTTACATTTTATGTCATGTTTCTTTCTGAAAAAGGTTGGACTCAAAGTGAATGTTAAATCTTTAATATTTTAAATCTCCACCCACTTGATTTATGCTAACTTTGTCCATTTTGATTTTTAATTTAGTTTGATTGAGTAATTAAAGAAGACTGTTCAGACTAAAGCTGGACCTCTCAGCAAGCTCTCGTTTACCCCGAAGCCCTCTTCCCCATGGGAGGCAATAATGAACTGTCATTAAACCCAGGGACGCTACAATCCGAGTGCCAGGGTACAGACTGCCAGCCCCACTGCTGGCTGGCTGAGCTAATTTCTGTTTCCTGGTGGATTCATCTAGCAACACGAAATGGATCAAATAAAATAGGTACATGTCACAAACTCAGTGTGAGATAATGCAAGTAAATTCTTATAACTCTCCACATACATTAAATTCTCCACTAGAGTCACAACTCCAAATCATCTCAACAGATACCAGACAGATCCTAGCCCAGGCTTCCTTCCCAGAAAGGCCCACAGTTGGCAGACCTGTGCTCTGAAATCTATTTGCCAAGTCCCACGAGTGTGTTACCCCTTGGGGTAACTCAAACCATTCCCCAGTAGCAGGAAATAAAATAACATTGACAGGACTTAGTGGCCTGACATCTGGAGGTCTGACACCTGGATCTTATCCAAAGGCGCCTGTATCAGTGATGGGAAGCTGAAGAGAAGAGGGTGTGGAGGAGAAGCAGGCTGCTCTAGTTTGCTAGGACACGTTCTCCAAAGGTTCATGTGTTGGGGACTTGAACCGCAGTGTGGTGATGGAACTTTTGTAGGGCGGGCGGGGCTGAGAACAAGGTCCTTAGGTCAACACACACACACACACACACACACACACATACACACACACACACACACACATTCACCCAAGAGATTAAGGCAGTTCTCGTGGGACTTTTGACTGAGTTCTGTGAGAAAACTACTAAAATGGATGAAACCTAAGCCCCTCCCTTGTCTGTTTCCCATCTCAAGTTGTGATCTTTCCCTGAGTCCTTCCTTACCCATGATGAGATGCCACCTGCACTTAGGTCCTCACCAAAGGACAGACCAAGGGGCTGCCCAATCTTACTCGTCCAGCCTTCAAAGCTATACGCTCAATAAGCTCATCTTATTTGTAAATACTGTGCATCAGACATTTCATTATATCAGAAAACAGAATTAGGCAGCTGTGGTAGTGCCTGCCTGTATTCTCAGCTCTTGGGAGGTGGAGGCAGAAGGAAGGGAAAGTGAAGGTCATCCTTGTCTACACGTGAGGTTGAGGCCAGCCTGGGCTACATGAGACCCTGTCTCAAAAGAAGGCAAAAAGAAATAAAAAGAAAGGAAGGAAGGAAGGAGAAAGAGAGAGAGAGAGAGAGAGAGAGAGAGAGAGAGAGAGAGAGAGAGAGAGAAGAAACCAGTGCTGAGCAAAAACCTTTAATCCCATCGCTCAGAAGACAGAGAGGCCAGTGAATCTCTATGAGTTCAAGCCCATGCTGGTACACATAGCAAGTTCCTGGCCAGTTAAGGCTACACAGTGAGACCCTGTCTCCAAAAGAAAAAGAAACTGAGCAGGAAAGTAAAAAAAAAAAAAAAACAGCAACAAAGAGAACAAGACAGGGACTCTGGTACAATGTCTATTCTAGACATTAATAGGAACGTAGCTAAATTCTGGAGAATATGAATAAAAATAATGACATCTAATGTTTCAAAACACTAACATTCCTTCCCCCCCTTCCTTTCTTTTGTTCTTTTTTTCCCTCCCGAGACAGGGTTTCCCTGTGTAATAGCCCTGGCTGTCCTGAAACTTACTCTGTAGCCCAGGCTGGCCTCGAACTCACAGAGATCCACCTGCCTCTGCCTCCCAAGTGCTGGGATTAAAGGTGTGCACCACCACCACTTGGAAAAATTCTTTCTGATAACCACTCATTGAAAATCTTGCCTTTGCCTCATGGTTAGCCTGTGTGTCGTCTTGTTAGCTTGATACTGCACGATATGTGGAGTCAGGGCTGGTCCCAGTTTGACATAGGCACCTCTGTTGCTGCCAACTTCATAATAATTGGAGGCAGAAAAGACGGTCAACACCTGAATCAAAACAGAAGTGTCATGGCATGTATGCACACTGAAGAACCTTCATCTTCAACCTCATTGACCAACCCACGTCGGGGCTGCTTCAAATCTAAAATGTTAAAAGCTGGGTGTGGTGATGCTTTTAATCCCAGGAAGACTCAGGAAGCAGAGGCAGGCAAATCTCTGCGAGTTCGAAGCCTGCCTCGTCTACGTAGTGAGTTCCGGGATAGCTAGGGCTATGTAGAGAGACCCTGTCTCAAAAACAAAACAAAACAAAGAAGTCGTAAAAGTCCAAGGTAAAATTGTAAAGCAGAGATGATGGCTCTGTTGGGAGAGTGCTTGCCGCATGGAACACGGGGACCTGAGTGTTACCCTCCGGCATCCACACAAAAAGCTGGGCTAGTGGTACGCATCTGTAATCTCAGTGCGGGGGAGAAAGAGATAGGCAGACCCCTGGTGTTTACTGGCCAGCCAGGCTAGATGAATTGGTAGGTTCTAGAATCAGTGAGTGACCTGCCTCAACAAATATGGTGGAGAGCACTGAAGAAGATACTCAGTGTTAACTTCATGTTTCCATGTGCACATATGCATGCACACATGTGCGCGCGCGCACACACACACACACACACAGTACCTAGCTCTCTTGGGCAAGTAAGTAACAAACCCTAGCTCAGCCCACCTTGCGGTTGTGGCAGAATTCATAGCCTTCAGGTTTGCACTCATGTGAGCGAATCAAGAACTGCAGCTTGTATTTCTCCAGCAACTTTTCTGTCACATCAGGCCCAAAGTAACAGCCTCCTCCTCGGATAGTGTTGGCCTTGCAGCCCTCCTGAGCCATGGGATCACTCCACAAAATATCCACCACCTACGAAGATCAAGGTCCACAACCACTCAGTCACTCACAGGAAAAACAGAAGGTGGAGGAAGCCGGTGGGGAGGAGGAAGCAGAAGGGGGAGGAAAGAAGGGAAAAATAAGATGAAAACAAATCCATTTCTATGCAATCGATATTGGACACATTTATTTTGAAGTTTTATTTGTCCAAGGAGACCAGAGAGGGTGTTGGGTTCCCTGGGACTGGAGTTACAGGTGGTTTTGAGATATCCTATGGATGCTGGGAATCAAACTCAGGGTCCTCTGGATGAGGGACCCACAGTGCTCTTACTCTTGGCCACTGAACCATCTCTCCAGCCCCATGTTTATATTTTGGATGCCAACGCTGCATTTAAAAAGATTTGTCTCGTCTTTTTCTTGTTTGCTTGGGTTGTTTATTTGCTTGTTTGTTTTGAGACAGGGTCTTGCTAAGCAGCCATGGCTGTCCTTGAACTCACCATGACCCTCTTACCTCAGCCTCCAAGTGTTTGAGATTTCTTCCTTGTTCATTTGTGTTTGTTTGTTTTGAGACGTGTGTAGCCCAGGCTGGCTGAGATCCTCCTGCCTCCACTTCCCGAGAATAGAGATCACAGGCATGCAGCTTAGAAATGTTCTATTTCATAAGTGGATGTACACTCATACATGGCTATTGGCTGGCAAGCACAGACCCATTTTCTTGGATATAAACCTTATATAAAAGGTCAGCATGCAGAAGGGGTTGCATTGGTCGGGGAGCAGCTGTGGATAAGGGCTATTACCCTCAGAGCCTGCATCCCAGGCCCATCCACCCTGGCTCCAAAGCGAAGGCAGAACTAGAAATGGCAGGACAGTCTTCCCTGTGGTGTTCAGGAGCCCCAGCCGTGGTCCTGGAGAAGCTTAACAAACATTTTGCTTTTTTGAAGCAACTTAAGGATTCCGACAGAAAGCTGCAGAAGACCTGAGACGTGTTTCCAGCAGTTCCACCATCTTGCTCATACTCAGGAGAGTATCCATTGCCGGCCTTACATAACACAGACACAGGGACCACAGATTTGGAGGGATGGTAGTAATACTGCCAGAATGTACTTTCCAGGAAAAATGCATTTGAATTATTTGCACACTATTGGGTCAGGTGTCACGAAAGGAGAGGCCTCCATTTTAAATTCAAGTGTACGCTGGTGTTGAAGCCCAGATCAAGAACTTTGGGGAGAGTGTGGCTTCTGTTCCTCACCCTCCTTTCTTCTCTTTGTTGGATGGACTCTATGAAACTGCCATTTTTGCAGATGACAAATGACACCACCATAAAGTTTTCATAGATCTGTAACTGCCCCAAACCACCAACATCGCCTCCAACCTGGTTACCGCGTGTGCTGACAGTTTGATGTCACTTAACACAAGCCAGAGTTATCTGAGACAAGGGGAACATAACTGAGAAAATGCCTCAGTAAGCCTGGCCTATAGGCCAGTCTGTGGGGTACTGTCTTGATTAATAATCCTTACACCAGGCCCATCCCACAGGGAGGTCATCACCCCTGGGCTGGTGGTCCTGGGGTACCTAAGGAAACCGTTGGAGCATTCCAGAGTCAGTAAGCAGCACTCCTCCGTGGCCCCTCCATCAGCTCCTGACGCCAAGTCCCTGTCCTGTTTGAGCTCTTTCCCTGAATTTCCTCCATGGTGGACCATGATGTGGAAGTAGAAGCAAAATCAACCCTTTCCTCCCAAGTTACTTTTGGTCATGGTGTTTAATTACAGCAATAGAAACCCTAACTAAATAGCAGCCAGGTATGGTCACATATGTCTTTAATTCCAGCACTTGGGAGGCAGAGGCAGGTGTGCCTGCCTGGCATGTGGTGAGTTCCAAAACAGCCAGGGCTCCACAGAGAAACCCACATCTCAAAATACAAAGCCAAACCAGAACAACAATACCTAACCAAGACAGCAAGCCAGCCATTTCAGGGCCTCCCTGACGTGGTCTTGCCCCTGCAAATGCCTCTTCCAGTTAGCCTGAGTCTCCTGTTTCGGCAAATGATGGGCCATACTGTGCAGGGCCATACTGTGCAGGGCCACCGCCATATCCGCCCCATTTGCTTTCCTCTGTCCTGACAGAATGGTTGTGTTTGGAATAGCAATGTGTCCAGCTATACACGCTTTCCCAGACTCCCTTGCAGGTAGGGAGTACCGGCCAAATGACAGAGTTCCAGAGAGCCAGGGAAGCCTATACTTTCCTGCCAACAGGGGCCAGAAGCTGCTGGCTAGTTCTCTAAGTTTTGCGCTGCAGTGGCCAGCTTCTTGCATAAAATCAGCATGGAAAAGAATCCACGGAGTTGACCTAACCTGCATCCCCAGTTGATGCCAAGTCCTGAAACAGATAATTGTGGGCGACAGTCCCTTGCAGCCTCTCCCCGCTCATTACAAACTTAACATGAGTTATTAGACAAAACTAATCCTCTTCCTGATACAAAGTGGGAGTTTGTTTCCTCGGAGGCAGCAGCCTGCTTCTGCCGCCAAAGTTCTTACGTCATCAGCGGTCGCCAGGAGCCTTTCCACCATCAGCTATGCGACGTGTGCACCCTTTAAAAGTGTCTGCCAGATACAACTCACTCTCTTACCTCTTTCCTCTCGTTTCTCTTGCTTTTCTTCCTCTTGTTTCTTCCTTCTTCCCCATCCCCCCACCTGCCTGCCTCTCTTGTCCCCACTCCGACGTGGCCTTTCACTCTTCCCCTCTCATAATAAACCTCCTGTGTTAACTTCGTTGTGTGTGGCGTGTTTGCTTAGTGGAATACCGTGGCAGCCCCCCTCCATCCCCCAAAGGTACCCACTTCGCCCCACTTCTTCGTATTTTTATTCTTTCAGAGGGCCCTTGGGCAACCTCTGCCTTTTTACAGGAGTTCAGATCTGTTGGTTCCTAGATGGCAGGCATATCCTCAGAAGCAGCAGCTAGCCACACTCACCTGCTTCCACTCCTCCAGAGTGGGCTCCAGTGTCTGTCGTACATCAGCATCACAGTCCGTGTCTGGGGCCAAGGGCGAGGGCTCCCCCTTCTCTCTGGTCCCTGGGAAGCCGGCTTGCTGCCGGCACCGCTCCAGCTCCAGGTCCACAGAGCGCCGCACTTGCCAGGATTGCTCCTTGCGGCTCAGCGAGCTGCAGGGAATGCTGCAGGAGCGGCAGGTTTTGCAGGCTTTAGAGCCAGAGCCCGGGTGAAAAGGCGACGAAGGCAGAGAGCGGCTTTGCGGAAGAAACCATGGAGTAGGTTTCTGTCCAGAGCTTGTCTGGTTGGCTTTTCTCTTCTGCTCCCCCCGATTCTCACTTTCCTTTCTCGTTTTGCACCTCATGGTAGAAACAATCTAAACGTGTCCATAAACAAACAAACAAATAAAGAAATACACAGAGAGTTGCAAGAATGAAACGCTGTCTTTTCGGACTATGGTTCCAGCATACAGGTCAGTCCTAAACCTTGGAGACCACCAACCATGCTTCTCTCTGCAGTTTTCCTGGGCCGAGACAAGCACAGATCTTGAGAGCGACTGTTAGAACTTTGGACAGCAATTCCATAGCGCCACCACATTCAAACACGTGGTTGGCACGCTTATATCTTTTTTGTTGTTGTTGTATTTCACGGTTAAAGAACTCATATTTAACATATTTTCACAAAAAAACATAGTAACATTTTGTATCTCCGAGGGAAAATTGTGTACAACGTGAATCACCCGTGTGTGTAAGCGCATCCACGCCGTGTACACCGTCCGCCCATCAGTCATGTAGCCTAGGTTTTCTGGCGGACAGTCGAAGCATTATCATGCCGTTTTTAAGGAATTATTTTTTGCTTAATGATACCCGCGAATGGAACAGTAGTGGGACCAGGGCATAAAACGTGAACGAGCAGATCATGCCTCTGACACAGGGTACACAGAGAAAAAACAAACCATCTATTCTGTGCGGGGTTTGGCGCCATCTGCTGGAAGTCCTGGATTGCCTCGATTGATAGGCTGATGTTAGAATCGAGAAAAGCGGACTCTTGCTAGACGGGCAACTGGAAATGCTGTGACCCTACGTGCTGCATAGGGGACAGGGGAGGGAAAGGGGAAACCCTTTTCAGCTTGAGCCGTCACCGACTCAGTCATCGTGATGCTGGGACCGAGTTGAAAATAAACAGAACACTGTTCTCGAGAAAGACAGAGGTCTGGCACGGGACTGCGGGTCAATGAATACAAAGACAACCATCACTGGGGCCGAGGGCCACCGGGAAGGCGGAGGAGGCTAAGAACTCTGAGCGCATGTGCACAGATTCACCTCCCTCCCTTCCCCGCGCAAATGGACGCAGGAACCGATGTAAAAACAAAACGAAACAAAACAAACAAACAAAAAACCTAGGGTGGGGGCTAGAGAGATGGCTCAGTGGTTAAGAGCATTGCCTGCTCTTCCAAAGGTCCTGAGTTCAATTCCCAGCAACCACATGGTGGCTCACAACCATCTGTAAAGAGGTCTGGCGCCCTCTTCTGGCCTTCAGGCATACACACAGACAGAATATTGTATACATAAATAAATAAATATTAAAAAAAAAAAAAACCTAGGGTGGACTGGTTTAGGACAAGAACAAATAAAGGTCCTGGAGAGGGCCAGCGAGACGACTGTGCTGGGAAGAGACCACACTGTGGAGGCAAGGAGGCTGTAAGGACTTTGGACAGGTGCTGCCTGACCCTTTCCTAACGGCTGGGAGAGAGACGGGTTGAGATCCCCCAGTTCCTAGTCAGCCTGCCCCACTGCAGACTCAAACAAAAGCTGTGACACCCCCCCCACACACACACACCCCACGTCACCTCGCAGGGAACTTTAAGGATTCCATTACCCGCTCCTAGTTAGAATGACTCTAACTTCGACTCTAAGGGAGACTTCGGGTTCCAGTGGTGTATTGAGGCTTCCTGGTGAGGTGTACTCTGCCAAATTCACGTAAGCCAACCCATGTTCTCACCAGCTCTGTCGGAGCATCCTTTACAGACGACAGCCAAGGAAACTGAGACGTAGAGATACCAAGACTCCTCCTGCTCTGGACCCAGTAGCCTGACTGGATCCGCCCCTCCCCCTCCCCCGCCACCCCCCTCCCCGCGGTACTCCCCACAAGCAGCTGTGCCAGCCCTGCCAAGAGCCTTGCCAGCTAAATGTTAGGAAGTTAGCATGTGCTGAGCCATGAAAATAAACTGCTCCTTCCACTCTTTCCAAAGTCCCTCCCACTTCAGTGCGTTCCGCGTTCCATAGGGTTCTCCCCAGGAGATAATTGGCTCTCCTGTGGCTTGCAGTCTCTGCCTCCAGATGGAAACATAGCTGAACAGAAGGTTTGAGCTCAAAGTTTGTGAAATATCAAGCTTACAAAAAAAAATCAGGTGCCAGGCAACATGTAGATTTAACAAGGAAAAAAAATGAAGAACTGGCTTTAGGTACTAGGGCCCTGCACTCTCAGGAATGTGAGGGTGGGGGCAGGAAGACGAGAAAGGAGGAGATGGGTGGGAGTCCCAGGTAAGATTAAATATGGGGGCTGGAGAGATGGAGCAACATTTGCTGTTCTTACAGGGGTCTCAGCTTCAATTCCCAGCACCCACATGGTGGTTCACTGACATCGGAAGCTCCTGTTTTAGGGGACCCGATGCCCTCACTGGACCCCTGCAGGCACACTCATGGTGCACATATATACATGCAGGCAAAGCACGCAAACAGATAAGAAATTTTGCTTAAACCTTATTTTAAAAATTAAGTGTGGGGGCTGGAGACGATTCAGATATGAATCATTTGGGAACTAGAGGCTCTTCAGGTGACGGCATCAAGGGACAGGTAATTAGAACTATCTAAATCAAGGATGACAAACACACAGCACTGGTCTCCCCTTTTGTGTGACCATGACAGACATTGCTAATGGATTATCACACACTTGCTCCCTGAGCCCAGCTGTGAACCCTCAGCCCTCTCTCCACATTCTCACATGTCTAATGTCACCATGCAAGGCGACATTTATTTTCCCTTAACAATGTGACCAGACAGAGGTGGGATTTCTATCAGCTCATGAATCAGTACCTTGTGCCTGTTTAGTTTAGCCAGAAGGTCCAAGTCTGTCCTGTCTGAGACGCCGCCATGAAGAACAAGGACTTTCTCATCAACCAGTGTGGCCAGTGGAAGCCAGCAGAAGACGTCTTGAAGCATCCTTAGGATTTTCTTCCCGTGGATCTGCGAAACCGACAAGACGTTCAGCTTCGCGGATCTCAGCCTGAGGTGGGGGAAGGGTGACTTGGGAAGGGGCACACCTTGTATTTCTGCATCACTTCCTTGGTGAAGCCGTATCTGTACACAAAGCACACATGAAGATGCATTTAGTGACAGAGGCCATGGCGTGATCACGTCTTACAAAAGTGCTTACTCTATTTTCGTGCCCTTAAAATATGTTAAAGAGAGAGAGACAACTAGGAGTCAGCATCAAGAAGTTTGCAATTTTGCCATTATTTCTGGGTAGAGAAATTATGAGATATTTAAATTCTATTCTTTTTGTTTGTCTAGATTTAATGGTTTCTCTGTGTGAATCCTTATTGTTTTCAAGCTAAAAATATTTATACATTAGAAATATATTCTTACTTCAATAGTAAAATAGCATGAAAGTTAAAGAAAAATCTTTTAAAATATTGTATGCTGTGTGTTCTTTCAGAAATTAGAAAACTTTTTTTTTCTGGTAATTGAACCCAGAGCCTTGGGCATGCTAGGCAAGAGCGCCATTGCTGGCTACAGCCATAGCCCTAGGAAAACCATGTTTAAAGGCATCTGTAGTAAGGGATTCTAGAGAAGTAACTTTTACAACTGAAAGCAAGCACACAACAGCCAGCGCGTCTGGGCCTGTACCGTAAGTTCACGAGGTGATCCTCATGGTTTCCTCGGTTAAGATGGAACTCTTTGGGATAAACCAACATGAAGGCAAACAGAACCATCAGGACCTCTACTGAGTCCTTGCCTCGGTCCACGAAGTCACCATTGAACACGTACGCCCTCTCTGGCGATGGTAGACCGTTCTTGCAATCCAAGAGGAGTCCGAGAAGAGGCCGTGGAGGAGGGGAAAAGAAGGAGGGGGAAGAGAATATTAGGTTAAAGGCAGCAGGCGTCTGACTGCTAGGTCAGAAATAGTCCTGTGATCTGCGGGTTCCTCCACAGGAAAACACCAGTGAAGAGGGAAGTGTTCCCCATTGTGCTGTATTTCCAAAGAGGCTGAGGACAGGATGCCCATCAGAACCGACACTTTATACAGAGACACAGTGTTGCCTTGCAGTGTGGACCAAAGGATGCTGGCTTGTGACATGGAAGTCACTTTTAAGCTCCAAGTACATAACAACAACAACAACAACGATAAAAGTCATAATGCCTGCCATGGACTCGTAAGGATTAAATAAAATAATGCCAGGCTGAGCATGCTAGTACACCCCTGTAATCCCAGAACTTGGAAGGGAGAGGCAAGAAGGATCAGGAGTTCAGGGCTAGTCTGGGCTACATAGTGAGTTGGAAGGAGGGCAGCCATTTTTTTTTAAAAGAGTCAGGCAGTGGTGGCAGCACGTGCCTTTAATCTCAGCCCTTGGAAGACAGAGGCAAGCGGATTTCTGTGAGTTCGAGGCCAGCCTGGTCTACAAAGTGAGTTCCAGGACAACCAGAACTGTTACACAGAGACACCTTATCTTGTAAAAAAAAATATATTTTTTTTCTTATGTTTTATTTTTATTATATATAATGATTTGGAAATACAATACATACAAAGTAATATTGTACTAATAAAATATTGAATATGCACTTTGTTATATATTCTACTTACAGCTAAAATGGATATAAAAACAAACTTTGGTTGCTTTCATAGTAATCTTCTTTATTTGGAAAAATAGGAAATCAATTGCTTAATAATAGTTCCAACTGCCTATCATTGGGTTTGCCTAAATTTTATAAAAATAAACCAGAACCGAAAGCGAAGCTGACTTTTAGGTCATGTGTTGTACAGACACATCAATCATTTAAAATAATATTTTAAAAATCCAAGCTATTGGAGCCAAAGAGATGGCTCAGCAGTTAAAAGCTCTGGCTGCTCTTCCAGACAGCCCAGGTTTGGTTCCGCACACCCACACGGAAGCTCCCAACCATCTGTAACTCCAGTTTCAAGAGGTCTAGCGCCCTCTTCTGGCGGCCATGAGCACTGCATGTATGTCGTATGCTGAAATAAGTGTGGACAAAATAAAAATACATATAAAATAAAAATAAATCTTTTTTAAAAACCAGACTATGACTAATTGTTTGTGTAATGGAAGGCATATTTGAACTTTTAATTTAAGCCTCAGAGCAAGAAATAACTAAATTTAAATGTTCATACCTTATGAAATATAAATATTAAGTCATCCAATTGGCCATGTAGATCTCCTAAAAGATAAAAGGAATATTAGTTCATGGTGACCCTTCTTTAGCGAGAAAACTACTGTGCCTGGAAAAACCCAAGCAAGTGAAGGAACCAACAGTTACTGATCTGAGGACAATGCTTCCCTTTCACCTTGATATGGAAAAGCTGAAAATGTTTTTTTTCTTTTTTTTTCACGATTCTCACGAACAGTAACTAATCCGTGCTGTTGCTGAAGCGAAGATGGGGAAGAATGATACAGGGTTGTAAGGGGTGAGAGACTTTCCTTAGAAGCTGCTGCTCACTCTGGGGCCAGCGTTGGGAGATTGTTCAAGAGAAGTTACCAAATCCAAACATCATAAGAAATCTCCTGTTCACATGTAGAAACAATGATTCTTAATGTTCAGATGCTTGCAGAGTGGGCAGGACACATCGGCTGGACCAGTTCGCAACCCCTTGTGTGTATCGCTCTCAGCTGGAGCGTGAGCTTCTTTCTGCATGGATGCTACCAGCAAATGGCGAAGATTGGCTGCTAGGGCTCCCCGTGGGAGAGACGTGTGTATGGATGGGAATCATAAGTCTCAATACTCCATAAGCCTTGAAACTGGCTCAAGTACAAAAACATAATACGTCTGCTCATACAAAAGGCCGGGTGGGGTTTCTTCGTTTGTTCTTTGCTGTTGGTTGGCTGGTTGTTGCCGTGATTTTGTTCTCAGGATGGAATGTGAGCTTGGGGTCACTACGAACGGCTTCTCCAAGCCACGTCTCCTTTAAGGAAGTATGGAACGTATGTGTAAATGGTGAGCTGACACGCTATTCACGTGCCATCCTGTTCCCGCTGGCTCAGCTCCTTCTCCAGACTCCTCGCTACGGCAGTGTTTTCTGGGTTGTGTCCAGCCAGGGAAGGCGGCTCCCACGGGCACTTACCGCACACTGTGATCTCCTCGCTGTAACAGGTTGAGACCCGGTTGATGTTCGGCAGCTGGGCCAGGTGCTTCCGGGTCTCGTACAGAAGATTGAGGACGTAGCGAGCATGGAGCTGCTACTGGGAGGAACAAAGGGACAGAACAGAACAACACCGGCGGTCCCACTTTTGCTGGAGAATGCCCGGCCAACCCTGGACCCCAAAAGGAACCCTGTAAACTGTGGATCCTCTTCACTCAACTGTTTTCATTTCTTCTCTCTCATTTCTCCCTTCTGTAAACATAGAACCACCCCCTCTTTCCGTCTAGTCTATAAAACTCTTCTTTGCCCATAGGGAGCAGTGCATGTCTGTAGTAGCAAAGAAGGAATTAGTGCACACACACTGGTAGCGTGGGCGGATCCTGCCATTGCTAAGAAGCAGTTTTCCGACCCCTACACTGCTTTCTTTCATCTTGGCAAAGAGTGGGAGGACTGTGAATTACGGGCCTCTCAGAACGGAGCCACTTCTCACTCCACTGGCCATGGGGGTTTCAAAGCAAGACAGTGTTTGGCTTGGACCACTTCAGCCCTCACCCTGCACGCCAGTCTCACACAGCGCTATGGTTTCATAATTACGTCAGAGAGGTTCTCACTATGAACTGTCTCCCTGACTGCTGGAACTCACTCTCTAGACCCAGCGAGGCTGGAACTCACAGAGATCGGCCTGCCTCGGCCTCCCAAATTCTGAGATTAAAGCTATGAGGCATGGGGCCCCGCTATTTTAAAGAGCAAGCTGGAAGGTCATTCTGGAAGGCTTCTGCCAACTGCGTCTCTTACTTAGTCCCTGCATTTGTCCTTGCTAACCACAGTGGCCTTCCCGAGGTCTCTGAACAGTCCGTGAAGGTCCCTGAACAGACCACAGGGCCTTGGTACTTGCTCCTCTGTCTAGAATACTCCATTCTCAGATAGCTCAGGTGTATCCCTCACCACCCTGGACCTTTGCAGGACATCTCGTCCCAGACTCTGTAAAACCGCCGCCTTTCCTGCCCCCTCTTCCTTAGCTCTCATTGCTCTCTGTACTGACTACATTGGTGTATTGCTTGTCTTCCTACACCACTAATGTGTCAGCTGCACGAGGGCCGCTGCATCCCCAGCGCTCAGCTCAGCGGGAGCATCCCAGCATCCCTCGCCCTTCTGCCCACGGGCCGGGCCGAATGAACAAGGCAAAGGTTTCGATATTAGAGACTGGCTCATGGACCACGGCAGCCTGACTACACTTCCAGCACTGGTTTGGTCTGTTTTTACTCAGGAATGCAAGTCAGCAGGCAGCCACATTCCCATTTAGGCTTACTTGTCTCAGTCTGAAAGCTTCCACCAAGGCGGTGGCGTGGTCAGGAAGAAGGGGGAAGGAGAGGCGTGGCCCCGTGTAGCTGTCGGGCACCTCTATGGATTCGTAGTCTGTCTCCACATCCTGGGCGAATCTCTCCTCAGTGAACATGCGGTTCAGGAAGTCCCCTAGTCCAGACAGAGGGCAAACGCAGGCCATCTTAGAACAGTCCTCATGGGATTGTTAATGCAGTGGGACCCTGCCAGGGCACTGGCTCGAGACCAGGATATGACAGGGAAAGAAACGGGAGACGAGGAACGGCCCAGGAGGGAGGTTCTATTTCTGAGACAGTACAATCATTAGTTAATATCTAGCTATGTTTACTTTTTAAAAATCAGAAACAGGTGATAGAGGTAGGATGGCTCAGCAGTTAGGACTGCTTGCTCCTAACTGTTGCTCTTCCAGAATTCCTGAGTTAGATTCCTAACATCTGGCTTCTCACAGCAACCTTTAACTCCAGATCCAGGGGGATCTGGTGCCCTCTGCTGGCCTCCTTTGGCGTCTGCACTCACATGTGCATTCACACATTTACACATGCTTTAAAATAAATCTTTTTTTTCCTTAACAATCAAAATATGGGTCATAGAAAATCCAGAAATGCAGAGGCCTGTGAAGTCAGAAGGAAGGTCAGAGCAAGCCAAGAAAGAAAAGCTTCTGGGCCATTCTCACAGCAGGGTCTAAGACCATTCCCAGCACTGAAGCTTCCTCCAGCTGCCAACCTCTGGAAGCCCAGGCCAAGGCTTTCCCTGCTGAACTGCAGGGACCATGAGTGGCAGACCAGAAAGGCTATGGAGTCAACTCTCCCTACGTCCTTCTCTCCAGGAGGTCTTCATCCAGGGACACCCAGGCTGACACGGCCCCAGGTTCCTGGTGTCTGGAGGCTCAGTTTTCATTATTTCCCAGGCCTCCTGAGTTGCTGGTGGTTCCCCCATTACTGCATCTCTCTCCACTCCCTCCATCCCAGTCCACCCCCCTCCACCCCCACTTAGTAAACCAGCTCCTGGCGCTTAAACTCTGGCCTCCAGGTGTGTTTACAGGAGAGCCCAGGCCAAAGGTTTACTTTGTCATTCATTTGCCAGCCAGCTCACTCAGTCCTGGACTCTCACCAGATTCCCCAGCCCACCTACCTTCTGTGTAACCCTGCCCACACTGACTGAAGACCAGTCACATGGCAGCTCCCGTACTCACTCTCGTGGTGGCTGCTGGGTGTGAAGTGATCCACAAGGTAGCTAAAGAAATCATGGAGCTGTGGAAAAACCAGACAAGGTTAGCTTTAAAAACTAGGGAAACAGGATCCAGGAGTGGTTCAGATCAGCTGAACCTTCCTTCAAGCACCAGGCCTGCTGCCCGGGCTGGCAGGCAGTCCCCCATCCCCACCGGCATACCTTGACCTGGTCTTGCTGTCCAGCATACTCTATAGACTGGAAGATGTTCCAGGTACAACGCCGCCTCATCTCCAAGCGGGCCATGTAGCGCCGGTACCACCTCTGGATCAGGGCCGCTGCCTTGAAGGCTATAACACAGACAAAGACACAGGCCCGTGAGCAGGAACTGCCAGAGATGGAGCAGGAAGCAGGGGAGGATGGTGTGCAGACCCTGTCCCACCGTAAAGGTGGGGAGAAGATGGTGGAGACACCTCTGCGTGGAATTGCCAGAAGGAAGCATCATCTTACTGTTGATCACAGAGGTTGGTTCTACGTGCCCATCCTGGCATCCCTCCAAATCCCTGCCATGACTGATGGTGCTAATACCACTGACAGTTTGTTGGATTTTCACTTCTTGAAAGTTTTACTTCACCTTGACCCCTTTCTGAATGGAGACATTTGCAGTTACCTGGTGGCCCAATAGAAAAAGGCTGCTACGCATATACCTTTACAATACATATGTGTAAGCAAAATGTGCATACACATAAGATATAAGTAAATAACTTACTAAAGAAGAAGAAGAAGAAGAAGAAGAAGAAGAAGAAGAAGAAGAAGAAGAAGAAGAAAAAAAAGAAGAGAGGGAGAGAGAGAGAGAGAGAGAGAGAGAGAGAGAGAGAGAGAGAGAGAGAGAGAGAGAGAATTGCTGTATATGCATAGAAGAGTTGGGGTCTGAAGATTTTGGGAAAGAAGGCAAGGATTTTACACACTTGAAGAGTGTGTGTGCGCACGTGTGTGTGTGTGTGTGTGTGTGTGTGTGTGTGTGTGTAATATTTCCACATTGTGGCAGTAGGCTGAATATCCAGAGACTGGCTTCCTCTAAACTGCCCTGCCAAGCTTTGTGGCCTCGGCAAACCATCTTACATCTCAGCATCTTCATCTAGACAAGTAATTAGACTCCGTGAAGAGTGGATACTCTCGATGTCACATAACAAGTTGTGAGTGTTTCCTCCATTCCAGTCCTTCACACGTTACTGTCCTGGCTAGTTTTACCTCAACTTGACACAAGGCAGAGTCATCAGAGAGGAGGGAGCCTCAGCTGAGAAAACGCCTCTACGAGATCAGGCTGCAGGCAAGCCTGTAGGACATTTTCTTAATTAGTGATTGATGGCAAGGATCTGGCCCATCGCGGATGGGGCCATCCCTGTGCTGGGGGTCCTGGGTTCTACAAGAAAGCAGGCTGAGCAAGCCAGTAAGCAGCATTCCTTCATGACTTCTGCATCGGCTCCTGCTCGAGGTTCCTGTCCTGCTTGAGTTCCTGTCCTGCCTTCCTTTGATGATAAATCGTGATGTGGAAGCATAAGTTGCAGAAACCCTTCCTCCCCAAGTTCTTTGAGCACTGTGTTTCATCACAGCAAAAGTAACCCTGACTAAGACAGTTAACATTCTCAGTTTAATAAATACTTTGTGGCGGGGCTGGAGAGATGGCTCAGAGGTTAAGAGCATTGATTGCTCTTCCAAAGGTCCTGAGTTCAATTCCCAGCAACCACATGGTGGCTCACAACCATCTGTGATGGGGTCTGGTGCCCTCTTCTGGCCTGCAGGCATACACACAGACAAAATGTTGTATACATAATAAATAAATATATAAATTAAAAAAAAAAGAAATACTTTGTGGGGGGTGTGGTAGCGTATGCTTTTAATCCCAGCACTTGGGAGGCAGAGGCAGGCAGATCTCTGTAAGTTCCAGGACAGCCTGGTGTACATAGTGAGTTCCAGGACAGCCAGCCAGAGCCACAACATAGTGAGACCCTGTCAATAATAATAATAATAATAATAATAATAATAATAATAATAACAATAGTAATAAGTTCTGTTAGGTATTTGGTCACATCTATGTGAAGGTACCTAATACAGATGACATTAGTCACTCTAAAAATTCATTTCTTGCTACCTTCTCTTCAAGCCTTTTTTCACAGAAGCCAGGTAAAAAATATTTTGAAGAGGTAAAAATATTGTTATAGAATTTCTTATTTTGAATTCTTTTGTCCTTTATGCCTTTGGGATAAAGTTTAGAGTCCTACAGAAGTCTGGACATGGTGGTACATCCCCCCCAATACCAGCCCTTGGGAGGCAGAGGCAGGAGAGTGGGAGCGAGTTTTTGACCAGCATGGTCCCTAGCAGGCAGCAGGCAGCCAGAGCTACACAGCAAGTCCTAATAAGCAGACTGAATCCTGCAGGGCTCAGGATGGCCTGGCTTCTGCAGACCTCTTCACCTTAGACGGTCCTGTTCCATGAATTGGCATCAGTTTTTCCTCCCCACTGACCCTGGTGCGGGGACCCTCTCTCTACACAAGCATTTTCACTGCCCTCTGTGCCCAACATCATTTCATTCGCTTGTGTACAGTCCGGATAAACTCGGGGACAGCTGGGGGCATTTTAATTCTATCAACTCAGATGGTCTGCTGAGCACTCTGGCGGTCACCACCAAGGATCAATCGATTTCTAAGAGGTGGCCTGAGGACAATCATTGGCTTTCTGCTTCCGTCCTGAGGAGTTCCGCCCCACACGGCACGGCGTTCGGGCACCGCAGCTAGCTCTGAAGGAGGGGAGCTCTTACCTTTCTCAGCATTCTGAAAAGCAAAGTGGTGTTGACTGGAGGAGCTGCTTCCCATGGCTGAGGTACAGAGCTCCTGCGGGACACAGACAGCCGATCTGGGGAAGGAACGAAGGGGCGTTGTCAGAGGGAGAGTCACACAAAGCCTCAGTCCACACGGAACAAACTGTCTGAGAACCCGTGAGAGCACCCCCTCCTCTCTAGGCTCTGCACACTGGTGTTTGTTTATCCCATGAGAATTCCCTGCTTTTGTCGTCCCTTGCCCTCTGATTTTACTCTCTACTGGCTTTTCCTCCGTGGTCCAGAAGCATGCTGGTAGCTTTTGAGGTTTCGAAGATATTTTTCATACTCTCCGCCATCCTTAAGTTCTTACAAACCCTTGCTCCCCTCTCACCCACAAGAACACGTTTTCTTCTTAGATTCTGTGTTGTTCTTTGAGACAGGTTTGCTCTGTGTAGCCCTGGAACTCACTATGTAGACCAGGCTGGCCTCAAACTCATAGAGATCCCCCTGCCTCTACCTCTGAGTGCTGGAATTAAAGGTTTGTGCCACCACTACCCGACGATACTATTATTTTATGGCATTGGGATTAAACTCGGGGCCTGGAATATGCTAGACACACGTTCTATCACTGAACTATATCCACAGCCTCCCCTTTTGTTCTTTCAAGACAGAGTTTCTCTGTAGCTTTGGGTCACAGCCCCTTTTTACTTGTCTTGTTTGTTTTGTTTTGAGACAGGATCTCATGTATTCCAGGCTAACCTCAAACCCACTGTGTAACTGAGGACAGCCTTGAACTTCTGTCTGCATTGTCTTTGTCATCTGAGAGCTGGGTAACAGGCATGCAGCATGCGCCAACAATGCCTGTTTATGTGATGCCGGGCCTCATGCATGTTGGTCTGGTTCTCTACCAGCTGAGCTACATCCTAACTCCCCTTTTTACATTCATTTTGAGATATTAAATATTCCAGGCTGGACTGAAATTTGTGCCTCTCTTGTTTCAGTCTCCCGAATCACTGGGATTACAGGTCTGACCTGACCTCTTAGATGTTCTTAACACTACCATTTTTATCCTCATTGATCAAAATATTTCCCAATGATTAAACCACAGAGTAGAAGAGGAGAGGTTTGGGATTCGAATTCATACGCAAGCGTGCAGAGCTCCAGGCGCACACACACATGCATACACACACCCAGGCACACACATACATGCACACACATGCCCAGGCATACCCAGGCATGCAACATGTTCCTAGGAACACACATATGCTTGTACACACCCAGGCACACACACATGCACACACATGGGAAACTTGAAGCATCTTTGGTGAAGTCACGGTTGCTTAGTGAGGCAGTCCGTGCTTCCCACAGACATCACACAGAGGTGTTGGAGGCAACAAACAAGTTATGCTGGAACGATGCATGAATTCCAATCCAGGCCAAGGGTAAGTGAATTGCGTGTGTAAGAACCAAGGGACATAGAAGACTGAATACACCCTGCTCTTTCCTAACCCTGAACGGTGCCTTTTACAGACCCGTCTTACAGCCTGTTCACTAAGGAAAACGTGCTACACTCTGGGCAGTGTGTGTGTGTGTGTGTGTGTGTGTGTGTGTGTGTGTGAGAGAGAGAGAGAGAGAGAGAGAGAGAGAGAGAGAGAGAGAGAGAGAGAGAGTTGGGGGTTGGAGAGACAGCTCAGTGGTTTAGAGCCCTTGTGGCTCTTCCAGTTCCCAGCACCTACATGGCAGCTGGCAACCATCCATAGCCAATGCCCTTTTTCTGACATTCATGCACATGTTGCACATACATGTTTCTAGGCATGCGCATATTGCACATACACACGTGTAGGCAAAACTATTATACATACAAAATAAATCTAAAGTATTTTTAAAAATAAGTGGTATGCATGTGTGTGTATGGGGGGGTATTCTTAGCAAGCCTTAGAGAAGACACTTGAAAACCACTAAGCTATATATACCACTATGTAAACCCACTGTAAAGGGACCCAAGTTGACTCACCCAGAAGGCCACAGGCATCCTTGGGTGTCTCACTGCTTCCCCGAATGCCTCTCTCCATGAACCTCTGTGCTTAATATCTGTCAGAAATGTCTTTACTTAGTCTCCAATCCTGCTTCATACTGGCTCCCTGAACATTCCTTCATGGGAGCCACACATCCTGGTTTTGCCTGGATGGAGGCTGTAGGGGACAGGAAACTCTTGAGGCTGCTGTAGATGCGAGCTGTGCTTCTGTTCCGATATTGTCCATGATGAAACCTTTCTCCTCCCACGTTACCTTCATTTGTTGGGCCCATGTCTTATCCATTTCTCTCCCACAGGCCAGGAAGCTCCCCCTTACCTTCTCGGTGCTTAGCTGCGAGATGCGTGGAGGCAGGCACCTAACCCATATGTCTGGCCATCGTCATCTTCAGAGCTGATGGGTGGAACTGACTGTAGATTTAGCAGATAGGACAGCACCTTTGTCTGGTGTTGTCTTCTTGGAGGGCAGGGTGACACTCACAAGCCTGGCAGTGCATTGCAAGCGCTGAGTGACATTCGCAATTAAGCTCTGGGCCAGCAACCTGGGTCAAGTGAGGCCTGGGGACAGGAGGCAAGACTGCAGGGTGTGACGTGTCACTCTGGGTGGGACATACACACACACTCATCCTAGATCCTCTTACTCTTGTGGATTAGGAGGTACGTTCCCCAAGCCAGCCCTGGATGCCTGAGCTCCTTAACCCAGAAACAGAGAACAGTGACCCCACAGCATGTGACTGCAGCATGCCAGCTGCTCCACACGAGCCGTGTGTGTGTGTGCACGTGGGCCTGTGTGTGTGCGCACGCATGCGTGTACGTGGGCGTGTGTGTGCACGCATGCGTGCACGTGGATCTGTGTGTGTTGTTCCTGCCTTTCCCAGGGACCAATCCCCTCAAGATGAGGCTGAGATGAGATGACCGTTAATCTACATTCCCAGATCATTCTTCAGCAAATCCAAGATGCCTGAGTATATTAAATAGGTATTAAGTCTCCCATGAATATTTACAGAGAAATCTATACTTAATTCCCTTTCCTACACCCACTAGGAAATACAAAATAATAAATCGTATTTAAAAACGGAAGTGAGAGATTTCAGGGAAAGAGGATAGAACACAACACTCGATGTCTACAAGCTTTTATTTTCCCTGACAGCATCTTTTGACATTTTATTAACAAACGACAAACAATGACAAGAAAGCACTTGGTTTTATATAATTTTCAAAAGTAGTAAGAAAGTAGTTTTTTTAAAAAATAAAGTTCGCATAAAAATACACTAGACCTGCCGGGCGGTGGTGGCGTACGCCTTTAATCCCAGCACTCGGAAGGCAGAGGCAGGCGGATCTCTGTGAGTTTGAGGCCAGCCTGGTCTACAAGAGCTAGTTCCAGGACAGGCTCCAAAGCTACAGAGAAACCCTGTCTCGAAAATCAAAAAAAAAAAAAAAAAAAAATACACTAGACCTATATAAGAAGTGTGTGTGTGGGGGGGTGCTATTTGGAAATATGAAATCAAAATGAACACACTTTTAAACAGACTCCACTCAAACTACACTTCTCCACTTTCCAGAGAAACTTATTTGTTCCTTTAGTCTGTGGCGCTATGGCTGGAACCCAGGGCTTCGCACTTGTTAGGCAAATTGTCAAGAGCTGCACCAGCCTCGGGAGAATCTTCCCCGGGCTTGTCCACCAGCCCTGCCATGACAGTCCTCATGCCCTGTCACACCTTCAGCAGAAAGGCAGGAACACAGAATCATGGGAAACTGAGGCCAGCCAGATACACCCTGACCCCAACACCAGGTATCTGAGTTGTTCCAGCCAGACACACGCTGACCTCTGACCCCGGTTATATGAGTTGCTGCAGTCAGCGTGGGCTGTTAAGGAATATTAAGGGGACCAGGACGGGGGGAGGATGCAAGACAATGGGCTGCTGTCCAGATGCGTGCCCAGAGATGCCCTCACATCCGCAAGGCAGAAAAGCTGAACGAGGGAGGAGGCCACGCTGCTCATGAAAGAGTACACCATTTCTCTCTGTCCTAGCCTTTGAGATGTGGCCTTTCGACAATAATCACCTGGCAGGAAGAAAAATTACATATATTTAATTCAAACAAAAATTTTTGAAAAATATGTAATTTTTAAGATTTGCATTCCCATGCCAAAAGGCTGACCAAACTATCGGGACAGGTTTAATAATCCAGAGACCTGAGCAGTAAGTAGCCCAGGGTCCCGACAGCAGGTGCTGTTCAGAAGGTCGAGTTCAGGGACAGCATGAAGGAACTCCTGTCCCTTTATGTCCCTTATGTCTGTCCTCTACCCTTGGGCTCACTGGAACCTTCTGGCCTGCAGAGCACTCATACATAAAATACAAATAGCTAAAAATATCCAATGATTGACCATCATATGCTAAATACTTACCCGAAAGTATTTGTACTTTTAAGTCTTAGGGAGGTCACCATCGTCTGTGAGAAGCACTGTCCCCCCCCACACACACACAAAGCAGTAACAGATGTAACGGATCATCAAATCCCTCCCAGCCCAGCATGGCACGCTCGCTCCTCTGTTCACCTTCAGCTTGGGTTCCGGATCCTAGTCATGTACTTGTCAGGCTGGGCAGCGCTCATCACCGTGGTGTAGATTGTGAAGCTGAAATAACAGGACCCATCCTTAGGCATGCATCAGCTTCCCCCTATGGTTCCCCGCCCCGTCTCTTGGTAAGAATGCAGAGGCAGAATGTTAAAAATGTAAGTAGAGAAGTCTAAGTGTTTTCTTCTGCCTATTTTGAAACATCCCCCAGAAGCCGAGATGGACTTTAAAATTCTGATTCCTCAGAGCTCAGGCTGTGGTGGTGACTTGGGCGGCTACCCCTGTTCTTTGCTGTCATGGTGAAAGGGACCCCCAACTTCTGTACAGCTACTCCTCAGAGCACACTAGGGGCATCCTGTGTCCTCCCCTTAGGAGAGCATGTGGGTAAAATCACAGGCTACAGGCCAGAGAAACCCTAGCTCAGGCTGGGGTTGTCAAGAGCACAGGT